TCACACACACACACACACACACACACACACACACACACACGCACACACACACACACACACACACACACACACACACAGAAAAATCTGTTTATGTTGACTTTTTTTTAATCTAAATTGTGACTGAAGGAAAGAGTAAGTAGAAAAACTCCACTCTGCAGTTTGAAGCATGAAATGTGCATGTGTGTATATATACTGTATATATACATTCATACATATACACATCAATCAATGTATTGAAATTGTATCATTTCCCATGATTACTGCTCTATCCCATGTCTCCCTCTTCTTTAGCCCTATCCCAATCCAACCGAGTCTCGTGAATGGCACCATAACAATAAAATTTAATTGAAAAATATCATCAAGCTACACTGGCAGCACCCGTTCTCCGCGAGACAGACACGCAATCTTGTTATTGTCTGCCTCGTGGGTCAGGCCAATAAGATGATATTAATATTAAGGGACAGGTTTACTTCAAATCCTTAATTCTGCATATGCACTGAAGGTTAGAATGGAAAGCTAACGTGGGTAGTGCATACTGACAATGTACATTATTTTGCAAACCTGATTATGACTGCGAGTCAGTGAAAACTGTTTGATAAACGCAGCGATTCGATTTAATTACATACAACACAATTGTCTTTTGGTTGCGAGAAAAGAGTGCATGTTTCTCAACAAATGAGCAATGCCTTGTGAAAATAAAAGTCTGAACTTTGCACATGACAATATTACATTTAGAATGTGATCCTGCATTAATTCCAACCTGTGTGATCCCCCATTAAAATATCATTTGTAAGCTCTTTGATCTCCACCCATTAATTTAAATTGCGGAATGGAAAAAAAAAAGACATCGTAATTATTAATGAAATATTTCTAGCTTTGTTCACACCAAGTTTATTGAAAGCTAAGCTGTTTTAATGACGTCGGGGATTAGCAAAATGTTAATTTCGGATGCATCAAGTACATTTGGCATTCCTCACGCTTACTCAGACAAGCAAGTCCAGTGCATCTTCCCTGCTCAATGTGTGAGTATCTATTTTACCACTCTTTTTTTTTTTGGGCGTGCCTGCAAAATCATCACCTCCCAGCAAGTACCAAGCAACATGTTGCTTTTCAGGCTGAATTCGACCGGGCCATGTCCTAACCTTGCTCTGCAAAGCAATCCTGATTAACCATCACCGCATGAACACCTCCCGCTGATGGCTGGCAAGCAAGTTGCGTTTATTTTCAGTACGTCTCCTTGATCAGGCTTGGTCCAAAGTGCGTGCTCATAATGTGGATGTCTTCGTCAACCTCATGCTACCCTCTTGCCTGCATGGTTGATTGATAACCTGATGTGCGATAAGAACATTACTACCACCGTTGTGTGAACATTGAAATAAAATCACAACTTTCAAAATAAAAGCACCGCATAGTTTATGTTTAATTTGACTATTTGCTTACTGTGAGGGATGGTCAGAGATGGAAGGCGGGCCGGATGTGGACCCCCATGCCCCTAGATCTCTTCGAAACTCTCATGGTAGTAATGGGACAAGTAACTAACTAATTCACAATTGCACTGAATAACCGTTGATACGAACAAAGGCAATCAACTTCTTACATTGTGCGGGAGAGGCCTCAACTTAAACAATGCGTTCAGAAAAAAAAAAAAAAATTAAAAATCACTGAGCTCACTTTATTCGGGTCTTTGAAATGTTATGTAAAAGATTAAAATGTTCTCATTAAAAGGTCATGTAAGAAATTTTTACATCATCATAAATGCATTGTCAAGTTGTTTTATCATTTGCAAGGTGGTATTTTACCCGGTAAAGCAAATTTCAAAGAAGATGCACGACCTAAGTTGAGTTTCAAACAAACAATTGAAATTGAAATAACGTGTTCAACATCACTAGACTTAAAACTACCTATACATGCACATAACATGCAAGGGCAACTGCTAACAAGTATAAATGTGCACCAGACGCGTATAAAACATTGGACAATAGCGTGCACGAGGACTGTGTGTGTGTGTGTGTGTGTGTGTGTGTGTGTGTGTGTGTGTGTGTGTGTGTGTGTGTGTGTGTGTCAAGCTCCACCGAGAGTCCAGCTGGCGTGGAAAAATTCCCAGATTTAATAAGCCGGCTCTAATAGCTAATAGCTCGTGCTTCATAAAATAAGGATAAGTGAAATTTAATTACAGTTATGGTGGCAGATGGCAAGAGTGACAACCCGTGACAGCGCAGCATCCTTACTTTTCATGCTTGGCCGCATTAACGCCACGTGGTGAGTTGGTATGGCGCAAAAAGTGGGAAAGTGGTTCCTTATAAAAAAACATGGAAATATATGAACTCTCTATCACAGGAGAAGAAATCGATAGCGAGACAAGACAGAAACTAAAAGTGAAGACTCCAAAGTACGCTTACTACGCTTGCTTCCTTAATATTTAGAATAAACTGTTGCGAAAGCTGCATGACTGCACCCATTTTTTGAGACTTGAAATCCTTGGCTAAACGGTCCCAAACCCTTTATTTATACCTCCCAGATCATGTGCACTAGACTAGAGCAGTCTGGGAAATGAAAAATCTCTTGAAAATGCAGGTGACTTGATGACAAAAAAACTCAAGTCAAAGAAGCAGCAGATACACTGCAACTGGTTTGTGTAATAAGGCTCAATTCTTTCAGCTGAGTTTTATTTTCTCGAATGTATTCTGTGATGTCCTGAAATAAAGCAAACAGAAATTTGCATTCGAAATACCCGCCCTCTGCAATTTGACCCTGGCTTTTATCAACTTCTCTATTCTATGCGTCCAAGTTACTTCCCAGACGCTTTTCACAGTTTGATGCAGGGAATCCACCCCCACATAGACAGATACTTTCTGCATGCATCTCAGACTTTATTCCTTTATCACTTTTGTGCTTAAGTGCCATCCTTGATTTTTATAACAGAGAGAGGAGAGAAAAAAGTGATGATGTATATGTAAAATATCTAAACGTGTTTGTTTATTATTGATTATTATTTATTCTGTATTTCTGGGAGCTGGACAAAAATAACGACCAAATAAATGGAAGGACCGAAGACTCAGTGTGTCAAATGTAACGCGTAAATGAGCCTTGAGATACGTGGTTTGCGACATAGACAAAAAGCTAACGTAAAGGTAATCACATGAGAAAAGTTGCAGGTCAAATTTAATTGCAATGGAACATCCTTGTCATTTTCAGCGTCGCTTGGGGGAAGGATGAATTCATTTGCACCTTCATGATCGTCAACGCTTCTCTTACTGGTGAAAGTCAAAGTTCGAGCCTGCAGGAAGTGTTCATTTTTCAAAGAGCTTGCCAATCAATAACACGGCTAATGCTATAAATCGTACTGATACAACCCAGTGGCGAGCCGTGCGGGTCTTACTCGACTTATCCACCAGAAGGATCTTGTTGCAATTACGGACACCATCCAAACGCGGCTTAACGGGCATGTACCTGTTGCGATGTAAATTATCTGGAGGAGCTCATAATCAATATGCATCTCATTATGTGACAAAAATATGAAGGGTAATCAAGTCCCCATAAATGCTGAATATTAAAAGAAGTCATGTGTGCAGATTGCTCAAAGTGTTTTGTTCGTGGAACGTTTGGCCAACCAGAACGTGCTGATGTGATCGAGGAGCAGCATTCTGGCTATGTCAATAAAAATTTGAAATCTCATTGAAACAGTCTCATTGCAGTTTAATTTTACATCTCTGGCATGATTGATTCTGAAGGCCCTGCGCAGATTACATGGACATGGAAGCACATCTGAATTTTGAAACTTGACTTATCCGTACACAGGACACATGCTGGAAGCACGGCAACAAAACTAAAGGAGAAGACTGTCAGGAATGCATTCATTCCATTCCCTGGAACAAATCTTAGAAATGAGGGTGTAAATTCAGGTGAGTGCTTTTGATTGTGTTTATACCAGCAGAAAGACCTTGCAGACCCCCAAATTTCACACGGCTAGTGCTACTTGGCTCAGACTCACTTGAACATTCGGCATCCATCCAAGGAGCCCGTTTAGGCGAGAAGCAGCAAAGAGATTTCATAGAAAAGCCCCCGGGGACCAAAACGTCTTGCTACTAGCATCCACTGTTGCACCCTGCCACCCCCAATCACAAACACACTTCCACTTGCCATTACTGTGACGAACCGCCCCCGACAGCAAGGCAGACCCGCGAAAACGCGACGACATCTGCTTGAGAGATAGCGCTGGCTCATTGTAAGGCATTTACACTCTTCGGGCAGCCATGATGGGAAGCAACAAAGCGTTTCAGTGCAGCGCAAGAAAGGCAAACATCAATCACGGTGACAGGCCACTATGGCTACACTTGTTAACTAACTAACTTTAAGAAGGGATCGAGGTTCAGAGAGATGCAAAATGTGTTCACCAAAGTGCTTTCTCTCAAGAGCTTGTTCATTCATCTTCATTTTCGGGAGCAAAACCGAATCAATCCACAGCATATTGAAGCGTTAAATCGAAAATGTAGTTTTTTCAGAAAGTTCGTTTTGTTTTGTTTTTTTTTTAACTTGAACTTTGGATCAAGATGGCCTTCAAATGAGAGCCCAAGTTGGCTTAACTAGTTTTAAATGAAGGCAGCAGCCACAAAGCCTTACAATATTCCCCCAGTTCCCACAATTCAGTCGTCCTTAATCCATTTTCTACTAAGCCTTCTTTTCGACCATCCATCCCTCTTGTCTTCCTTTTTCCTCCTCTGGCACCAACACAGTTTGGTGCCTTCCTTCATAATCCCAATCACCAGCGTCATCATTCGTGACCTCCTTTCATTTCATTGCTCATCTATCTCGGAGTCCCTTTTGTCTTCGGCTTCTCACAATAGGCCTCTGGCATGTGATATCATGTACCAGAACCAAAATTAGATCATTATAACACTTCAATGTTTTTTTTTTTTACTTATCCACTTCAAAACGAAATGTGATTTTAGCTGACATGCACATATTGCAAGACATCAGAAAGCTATGATGGATGACAACTTATCATTGGGTCTTTTTTTTTCTTTTTAGAGAGAGAGAGAACTACTGTAATGCTTTCTATTTGTGGAATGCTGTGCCGTTTTCAGATAAACCGTGTACATTATTAAAACGGCGAATGGTTGTGTGTGGAGCAGACATGGCATCTTGTTGCAAAGAAAGGCATACTTTTTCATCATTAACAGCCGCCGTTTCTGTGGAAAAAAAAAAAAGACTCCCGCAATTGAAAAACAAAAGATACGTAAAACGACAGATTGCAGTGATCCTCCTTGCTACCTTCTTCTGGTCCCTCCACCGATGCTCCAGCTTGGCATCGAGGCGGTTGGCAGCTGTTGTCCACTGTGGAGCGAGACGACGGATTCTACGCTTCATGAAGCTCAGAGACTCCTTTCCTGCGCCAATCTGGTCGAGCAGCATGGACAGATCGGTGCGGAAGGCAGCCTGAGAACAAGGTGGATGGGTAGAGAACAAAATGTCGTGGGGTCAACATGAGGTGGAAATTTGATTCTGCCAAGTAGAACAAAAAGACCTCTTGTAAAAATCGTAATATTGTATTATGTATATTATAAATTGTAAATGTGGTTCAGTGTTGTTGTAAAATACAACATGTAGTGCATCCATCAATCCATCCATTTTCCGACCCGCTTTATCCTCACAAGGGTCGCGGGGCGTGTTGCAGCCTATCCCAGCTGTCTTTGGGCAGTAGGCGGGGGACACCCTGAACCAGTTGCCAGCCAATCACAGGGCACACAGAGACGAACAACCATCCGCGCTCACACTCACAAACTAGGGACAATCTGGAGTGTTCAATCAGCCTGCCATGAAAGTGTTAAATTAAGAATACGCCTGCAATGTAGACAATGAGAGTCAAAATGACAGGGGTGAAACAACGCCACATGACCCCTGAGTCAGCAATGAGTAAAAATAGAGCGGATGATGGATGGCTGAGGCGTGTGTAATTAGTAGACTTTGAAAAGGGTCAGATGAAAGTGAACTACTGTGTAGTAATGGGGTCAGAGCGCTGAAACTCTCCTGAGCATAAGCTATGTTTGGCTTCTTCTTGTTTATAGTTTCATGATTGATGACATCTTGACTTTCATTTTCTGCTGCCTCGTTAGGGACTTGTTATGACCATATCAAGGGTATTAGTATGAAGGTACTGTAGCCTATGAAGCAAACAAGCTACTGGCTATTTAACATATAGTTCAATCTACCGGTCGAAACGCAGCAGACCCATTTTTTGACACAACATCGAGGCTAGCAGCTCTGACAAGATTAGCATCGACACAAAAAACTTCAAATGAAGCGATTAATGGAAGAGCTAACATCTAAAATGGCAAAATGTTTTATTCATGTCTTCACAGGCTTTTTTTCCTTCCCCCTTTTCCTTACAACATACCTCACTTGCTACGTTAATTGGAGTTCAGTCAAAGCGCTTCCACAGATCACCTAGTCATGGCCTTAAAACAGTAAAGTCTTTCTTGCATAAAATTAAACGCGAGTGTGAAGCGTGAGCCAAGATACAATGACTAAGATAACATACTGTCTCGTGCCTTTAATGCTTTTCCGATTGTTACCATGTTTAATTTAGTTGTGTCATCGAAGCAGTTCCACAACGCTTTAGACTGTGTTTCACGGGCTTGAGCAGTCATCTATTTTTATGTAACACTGATTGTCAACTAGCGGGTCGGGGTTGGTTTTGGGTTGGATGTGGACAGCTAGAGGAAAAATTACAGGGTGTATTACGTCCAATAACACTATCATTTAAAACCCGTTTTACAACACTACCTTACAAATAAATTGTCCTTACAATGGACCCTACAGATGGGCGCTAGCGCATGTTGACGCTTTGCAACCAATAACAAATTGTCAAACAATGACAAGACCTCAGTTGTTTGTTAGCTTGAGTTTTTTAATAGCAACTGAGCAAATTAAAACTAAAATTGTGTGGCTTGTATACTCACAGGCCTCTTGGCGGTTCCCTTAGCCTGGTGGACATGCTGGGGGCTGGGCTGGCTGCTGTGGTTCCTCCAGGCCAGCGGGGGGCAGAACCACTCCACTTCACTGAGATAGACAAGGAAGGAGCAGTCGGAGCCATCGACACCATAGAAGGCGTAGCAAGGGTCAGAGGTCCAGCGTGCTCGCATCCACTGAAGGGATAAAAAAACAACGGTAATGCCACATACAAGACAGAGGCATACTTTGAAAATTCGACACATTTTGGGGGTAAAAAAATGCCTCTAAAATCGCTTTTCAAAGTTTTGTAAATCTGACATGATAGCTTAGAGTATTTTACTTCAGCTCAGTCTCATGTCTAGAACAATGACAATAATGATAAAGGAAGAACAGATTGTACAGCGCAAAGTGAGTCTGTTTTGAAAATCGAGGGTTAGTACAGGTGAATCTCAATAAATTAGAATATTGTGTCAAACGTTTTTTCGGTAGTTCAATTTGAAAACAAAAACTTATACATCATATAGTTTTCTACACACTGAGAGAATCCATCCATCCATTTTCCAATCCGCTTATCCAAAAACAAAAACTTATACATCATATAGTTTTGCTGCACACTGAGAGAATCCATCCACCCATTTTCCAATCCGCTTATCCTCTTGAGGGTCGGGGGGCATGCCGACTGTCCTAAGGCAGGAGGCGGGGTTCACCCTGAACCAGCCAATCGCAGGGCACACATAGACGAACAAACAATCGTGCTCATTAACACAGCTCGGGACAATTTAGAGTGCTCCATTTACCTGCTATGCATGTTTTTGGAATGTGGGAGAAAACCGGAATACCCCGAGAAAACCCACGCAGGCACAGGAAGAACATGCAAACTCCACACAGGGAGGCCGGAGCCGGAATCGAACCCTGTACCTCTGCACTGTGAGGCGGACGCGCTAACCTGTCGACCACCATGCCGCCCCACTGAAATTTTATTTTTCTTTTGTCGCTAATGTAAACCCTAAATTCACCCCCAAGGAATTTTAATATGATAATTCCAATTATTTTTAATGCAGTAATGAGGTAGGAGTAGCCTTCTGCACTTGATTCACAGCTTTCTCACCAAGTCATGCAACCTGTCTGAGACTCACTGGGCCGTCAAACTATAAACCCTCATCAAAAATATCCTTCGAAATGGCTGCAGCTGCGCAACTGCTTTGTTTTTTTTGTTTTTTGTTTTTTTTTCCAAGCGCATCAAAGCTTGCAAATCCCTCTACCAGTAACAAACGGCTGAACAAAATATCTGCAAACGTGTGAATTAAGTCCATGGTTTTAGGAGTGGATTTCAAAAAGCCTTTGAGCGAATGATGCACGTGACAAGTGTGAGAGTGGCTGGTGCTCCAGATTCCTCCTGTTGGGCTCTACCTGCCTTGCTGGAAGTTGATTAAATATGATTGAATCTGAAAACGGATGTAGACGAAGCCCGCAGGACAAGTGCATTACAGTGACCGTGAATGGCAACGGCAGAGGTCGGCCAGACAATGCGAAAATAATCTCTGTTAAACCTTTGAATCGCTTTATATCCCTAGTTAAAAACTAAACAAATACCATTAAGGGAGGGACATGGGATTCCATCTCAGAAAATGAAAGGGTTTAACAGTTCACAGTCATTTCGACGAACAGTCAAAATCCAAATGAAATCAAAATTGAAACTTACGTCCACTTTTCCAGGACACTCTGGGTAGCGGGGATCTTTGGGTACCTCGCACTGGCTTGACGTCCCATCTCTCACAGCTGAAAAGACATTTGTCCTTGAGCCAACAGTTCGTCAACCACGACAGCCAGCCCTTTGGTGCTTTCAACTAACCGCACTGTAATCCGCAAAGTGAAGTCCGTCCAGACTGAGTTAGTGTCACCCCACTAAGCACCCAAGCCTTTGAAAAGGAATAAACTTCTCTTAAATGTGTGGCTTCATTAGTCCACCGGCTCTATGTTCCCAGTGTTAATACGTACAGATTGACTTTAATGATCCATACAGCAATTAATCATCATGATGCTACCCCTCAGCTCATTGAACACGCATTTTACAACATGGCAGCAGCCATGAGGCCCCAAGTTAGCGTGACGCATATTCATATGCTCCTCACCTCACTTTAGGATGGAAAGTGACAATAACCTGCATACAGGCCACCTCGGCCGTGTGACACCAACGCAGTGCACAGTGTTCACTGGACCTTCCAGTGCAGCTGAGCCAGTCATTCTATGCCCAGCGAGTGAGGGCAAACACACTGCATTCATTGCTTCACTTAGTTAAATGCCTGTCTGCTGCTGATATAAGGCAAAAAAAAAAAAAAGGGGGGGGGGGGTTGACGCACCAATGTTGCCTTTCCGTGTTTTCATCCTTTTTCAAGCTACACCCCCATCCCCTTTCTCTCCCCCCTCTCTCTCCCTCTCTCTCCTAATGAAACTGAGACCTTACTGCAAATAAGTCTTTCGCCCCCCAGGCTTTTCTCCATTTACAGAAATACACAAACAAACATTCAAGATGAGGGTATTCACAGGTCAAATCTATTTGTCAACCAAAGTCGCACAAAAAGCTTGACTAGCAATGTACATTCATGAGTTCAATTGATAAAGCAGCATTTTTATTCAATTTAGCTTTGATAACAGACTTAAAGGTGGGCTTTGCTCACTGGGCTTTGTTGAGTTATGCATCAATGGAGTTATGAAACAAAAGGAAAACTAAATAAAATCGACTCAACTCTGAACTCCAGTCATAACATGATATTTTCACAGCCATTTTTATGCGCATGGAACACTGTCCTTGGATTACACATTAAAACTGGTTTGAGAAGCGGGCGGTGTAATACGTCTTTCAGTTATCTACGCATGGATTATTATTATTATTTTTTTTTTTTTACATTTAGAAGATACATTACATTTTTTAGAAAATAGATGTTTTAGATTTAGGCCTACAAATATTGAGAGTTATGAGTTTACTACCAGGTTACCGTAGATTAGTGATAAACTAAAACGCCTTTGGATCACATACAAATTCAGGCTAGGTCACGGTGGTTGGAACAGAATATGCATTGTGCGTCACGGTCCCCGCCCCAGTGTTTCATTGTCACCGATCATTGTACCTTTGCCTTGCATAATGCTGGTTTGCAGTATCTGCTCCACTCTGACTGCCATGTTGGAGACATTCTGAGCTATAGTCTGGATCATCTCCATGAGGCCAGCTGGTTGAAACCTGCAGAGGCGCAGCAACACATACAAAAACATGAGCTCAAAGTGTAATCGGCGAAACTGGCAAGCAAACACAAACCTGGATTCAAATCGCAGCCAACCATCACATTGTTTGCCACACCCATAGGAGAACAGTAAGGGGACCCAGCCCTGCCACTAAACATGGGCGGGGGGCGGGGGGGATATTTTTTTTCTGACGGTATGATACCCGTGACAAAAGAATATCGTGGTATCACTGAAATAAAATGGCACTGCTGACTTTTTTTGTGGAAATATTCGGGTATGATAATTATCATATCGTGAGGTTCATATCTGACACGATCCGAAAAGCGGTAAGCGGATCCCACAAATGTAGATTGAGGCAAAATAAATAAATAAAAATAAAAACATTTACAGAAAAACAAATGAACCACCAAGTATTAACAGAAAGCATGAGCACCACAAAACCAGGAAAAGCCAATATGAACAAAAAAGCGTTTTCAAACTGCAAGGTAAATAAATACCCGAAAATACGCAACACAAAATGGCAAAAGTTTATTACATGAAACTTAAATAATCCAAGAATAACAAGAACTCCTAAAACACTTACTAAACAAGAAAACTATCGAAACAAGAGCGACCATAACCATGAACGAGGCATCTAGAAAATTTCTGTTGAGCAAACAAAAAAGCAAGGTCAATAATCTGACAGTGACTAGGCAGCTTGGCAGTCCTGAAATACATGGCAAAGCTTGATTGGTAATGAGAAACAAGTGCACCACTGAGGAGGCATGCCCTCCACTTCAGCTGGTGTTGAAAACAAAAACAAAGACAGAGCAGACAATATCCTGATAAGATCATATTGTGATGTTTGGATATTACTGCCTCCATAAAATTAGGTGGTGGCGGGTCACTGTAATAAGCTCTCTCTCTTCATTTTCTTGACTGGAATCTTGCTTCCGTCTAAAATCCCCAAATGATCAACCCTTTTTGCGGTAAAAACGTAAACAGTGAATTGGTGACACTAGAATTAATGGATTGAAAATAAAGGCCTGGGGAAAGAGACGCCCCTCTGTGTCACAATGCTGAAGCTTCAAAACTCCGAGCACGGCAGTAGAACAGGAAGTGACATTTGCAGGTACATTTATATGCTGCTTAATGTGCTGGAGCTGAAAAGCTCATTAGAAACTTTGTTTGCGGTACGGCAATAATGGCACACATTCCGCATTAAAGTGTACGCAAGTGGTGGATGTTTCCTCTTTTGGGTCTAATAGTGATTTCATGTCCATGCAGAGTGGATTTGAATGCAGGAGAACAATTCCATTTTCGTGGGACTTCTGTAGGCTCGTGCCTCATCGCCTGCTTTTTTTTTGTCCCCTCGCTTTATCTCAATCCCCTCCTGTGCTCCCCCCCTCTCCATTTTTAACATCTCAAACAGATGTACAAGTGTTAGCGAGGGATGCAAATTGGTAGACACTTGGTTGGAGCGTGAAATAGAAAGGACCTGCGCTGCCACTTCTGCTGCCGGATGACAGAGCTCCTCATTCACAAGACAAGATGTGCTGAATAAGTTGTCTGGGTACGGACCGTGGTTGTGTAGTTTTAGCATGTGCTTGGTTGAATCTCATGCAAAAAAAAAAAAAAAAAAAAAGAAGCCCTCACAGCCTCATTATTGCTCATGCTCCTTTCTGCTGCAGTGCCCATTACCTCTTTTTTAATGACTTGATTTCAGCGGGCACTTCAACGCTGTAGTGTGTCTATGCATTGTCTAATCAGCAGATGGCTTTAATCCTCATTAATTTCATGCTCCCCAAATGCAGCGTGATCACAAGTCACTCACAATGATACAATGGGTTGTCTATGCATGTGTGGGCAGGATGATGTGCAAGGGCGCTTGACTATATGCCAGCAGCAGACGCTTGAAAAGAGTCAAGATAAATCCAAGCTGTGGAAGTATGCCTGCCAGGAGATAACCTTTATGGCTTGAAAGAAAATAAAGATAGCCGACAGGCTCAACCTCTTGTTATTCTTATTAGTGCAATATTCATTAGGGTGGGCGTTGGACGACATTTCCTTGCTCAAGCAGGCAGAAAATTAATGGGCTGTTTTTTTATGATTATTATTATTATTATTTTTTTTTTTATGAGACAGGAATCTTTGAATCTCTCATGCTCGAATCTCCTGTTTCCATGGCAGGTTTGTACTGAGCAGACAAACGATGCCTAGAGGAGTTGTGAGTCTGCGTGGAGCTCAAGTTCCCACAGCTGACGTCATGCTTTACTTCTTCAGGCGGCAAACTAGTTGGAACGGAATCAACAACGCCTCTGAGGATGGCAGCCAAGTAGCGTACTCCATTTTGCCTCGACTGCTTCAAGACACAATTGATCAACAGTCCAGTCCACACAATTGGGCAAATAAAAAATAAATACATAAAAATTTAAGAACACCGTTATCAACTGCATGTCTGCTTCATGGGACTAAGGTTCACTGTGGCTTCCTCTCACATTCCACACACATGCATGTTAGGTTAATTCATGACTCTAAATTGCATATAAGTGTGAGATCGATTGCCTATCTGTGCCCTGCGATTGGCTGGCGACCAAGCCAGGGAGCATCCCGCATCCCGTGCAAAGTCAGCATTGATAGACTCCACTTCACCAGTGACTAAGTATTTTTAAATGAGCTCATTCTCTGCCATTAACAAAAATATTCGTCCACTGAAATCCAGCCATTTATGGCCACTGATGTATAATACCAGTCAAGTAGGTTTTCTTTCTGGTCTGGTCTGTGAAATTCAAGTTTGTAAACAACTGTAATGACTAGCAGATCCATGTAGATGGTGGCGTTGAATCACTTTGGATGTGAGCTTAGCAATGCTTTTGAGTAGAAGATAAAGATGAGGTGGGGATCTCGGCTTGTCACATTCATCAGGGACAGAAATACAAACAAGTTGGAACTCGGACAAGTTAAGGTACCTGACATGACAGAGTATGTGTACTATAAAAACTACTCACACATTAATTGGTGCATGCCCTCACATGAGACATTAGTGCTTCTCTTTTATTGCCAATATTCATGTTTTATCACACGTGTACTGCACATGCTAGAAACTCAAATCAGGAAACAATCATAGATTCAGCGCTTCCTATTGTTTGAATAATCTGTGGAAGGGCAGCACGTGCTAAATTATTAGCATATCTGGCTCACAGTTCTGAGGTTGTGGTTCAAATTTTGACTACCCCCACTCCCTCTTCCTTGCATTTGCACTCTGGTTTCTCCCACATCGCATTTGGTTTATAGAAGACTCAATTCTCCGTTGATATGAATGTAAATATGATTGGTGGTCATTGAATACGTGCTCTGCGTTTGACTGGTGACTATGCAGTCCACTGCCTCTCGCCCAAAGTCAGCTGAGCTAGGCTTTGGTTCACCCGCATGAAAAATGAGATGGTTCGGTTTAAAGGCGTGCATATATTTCAAACAAAACATTTATCACGCCCATTAATGTCAACTAAAGGACAAATGAATTCAGCCTGGGCTGAGATTCGTTTTCCACCGAGTTCCACTCCAGTTATGCATGTTTTATAGCCCCATATGTATTCATATAGTTTTATGCTCTGTTCTCTTATTAGCATCCATTTTCTACCCCCCCTGCTGTCCCAAATTAAATAAACTGTTTGACGTTTCCCCGGCTGCTGCTAGTGGTGCACTGAAACAACATTGTATTAGTAAAAGTAACGACCTTGTGTGGTCTGTAAATTAACCAGCGGAGCTTGGGGGGGGGGGGGGGCGGTGGAACAGCCGACCTTTCACCTGAGTGTAACAAAATTGTCAAATTCAAAATGGGGAAAAAAAAAAAAAAAAAACAAAAGCATAAAAAGTGATATAAAAGATCGGGAGTACAAAAGAGAGACAGAGGGTGTTGCATGAAAGAAGTCATGAAATAGGAAGCAGATCAAGCATCGGAGCACCACGGGGCACTACAAATAAATGCCCCTCTTCCTTTTCATTTAGAGCATAACAACAAGGTCTGACTCAAATGACAAATTATGCTCATCAAAGAGTAAAAGAACATTGTGGACGTTCGACGGCTGCGCGGCGCTCACCAATGAAGCCACGCGCATTTTAACGAGCTTCTCCAAATGAGCAAAACAACAACAAATCAAGACGAGCTCAAGAATGAGAACGTGCGTTGGAGCAGATGAGGGAAAAGAAGCAAGAGAGGGGAAATCAATGAGCAAAAGGAAAGTCTCTACGGAGACAGGAAATGAAAATGACTTCTCATATTCGACTTAAAAGAGAGCCTCCCTCCCTCATCCCTACACCCTCTCTCTGATCTAATGAGCTCATCCTCTTAAGGACGAGAGGATGGTCTGTTGGGCAGTACCGCATGACTGGACACCATCCAGCACGAGAGATGTATGTGATGAGGTGTCAGCACGTTCGTGTATTCATGTATTATCACTCACGACATTCATTTTCATATGCTTAGAGAAACTGTCATTTAACGTAATGTAAAAAAAAAAATTATATATATACCTGTGTGTGTGTGTGTGTATATATATATATATATATATATATATATATATATATATATATATATATATATATATACACACACAGACATACACACAAAACAGTTGAGTGGGGTGTGGGTGCGTCATGGTTCTAGTGTTTGAGAGCAGAGACAAGGGCTTGATTTATCACATTTGAGAAGGCGCATTTATTTGATTTTATTTTCTTATTTTTCTAGAACAGACACTGTTGAATTTTATGAACTCTACTATCGGATTTTGTGTCAAAGATTAAGTTAGTTAAAACAAACATTTGGGCAAAATATAGCTCGTTTTTGGGGGGGGGGATATACAGCCAATAGGCTAATGATTACTTTCTGCACAAATTACAACATGATTTCCAAGAGAACATATGAAGGTTGTCAATGACTAAGTTAAGAAAAAAAAAAAAAGCTCAAGTCAAGCCAAAGAGAACAAAGGCCCAATGGCAAACATCCTGCACCAATAACCAAAATACAGCGAGTCAACTCAACATTCTTGTGCCTCCTTTCATCATTGTTATTTCTCCTTCTCCTTCCTTTCCTTGTTATTTTCTGCCCTAATGAGTGGCTGCCCTGTGGGTGAATTGCAGGCGGAGGGCTCAGACATCCAGTCCGATTCACCACTACACGGCAGTTTGTCAGCACCCATGAAGCTCAAGCCAAAGATGAAACTCCTGCACAGCACAAGCACATCTTTCTGTGAATGTGCACCTGACTGCCCATTTTATTTATTTATTTAGATATTTATTTTACTACTCAATTAGATCCTCATCCCTCTATGGCTACAGAAGTCAGAAATGTCAAGAAAACCTAAAAATGGAAAAATCACGTCAAGTATCACATATTTAATGGTTGATTTGTGAACACCCCTCCAAATCCAAAGAAAGCCAAACTGGAGAACTGAACATACACAAGAGCCATGAGGAGGTATTAGTGTAGGTGTGAGAGTGTGAGTGTGTGAGAGAGAGAGAGAGAGAGAGAGAGAGAGAGAAAGAGAGAGAGAAAGAGAGAGAGACAGAGAGAGAGACAGAGAGAGAGAGAGAGAGAGAGAGAGAGAGAGAGGGAGAGTGTGTGCGTGTGCACGCATGTGTGTGTTGATGTGCGGCCATTAATTCTGTAGGCTGTATACTCAATCAGGTTGCTGTCTGTGCCCTGGTCTCATGCCCAGACTGAATTTATTAACACGTGTTACTTGGACTATAACTAATGGATAATCATTACGATGATGCTAGATGGAGCGTGCAGATGAACCTTTCTTGAGCGTTTTATTTTATTTATTTTTTGCTTTTAAGGATCCATTTCAGTCCAAATCAACACGCTGTCAACAGAAGAAGAAGAAAAAAAATTTAATCCATTTGTCTGTGTGTATTTAATGGCACCTCTATATGTGTTTTAACTACACTCTCTGAGTTCAGCAACAATAGGCCAATTCTATGCATAAGAAATGAGGATGCTTGCAAAGGGATTAGCCCACAAACCTGAGGAAAAAGTCAGCCTAGGTCAATGGAATATGGAAATGATAATAGATACTCGATAAAATAAAATATCCCCAAGGTCGCGCAATTTGGAATTTGACCAACATTTTCTCAGAAAATGCATCTTTAAAGAGACAAAACGGCTCCTACGGCCATGAGGGACATCAACAGCATATCTCCCAGACCCTATTCCATAAGAAGGACTAGCTTCAATAAGAAGAAGAATATACAGTGGCTTTAAAGGCTGAATTTACAAAGCGTGGCTCAAGTGAGACCATTTAAAATTTTCTGCTCCCAATTGGCACACTTTAGACATGTGTCATTGAAGGCGAGAAAAATGCATCGAATCAAAATAAATCAGACTCAAGTTTCTTCCAAATTTGGATGAAAAAAAAAAAAAAAATCGGAAACATATTGGATATTATAAACGCATAGATATAAACGCATAGATCACATATCCCGTCACAAACCTGTCTCTCTTTAAACAACACAGACAACAGCTCCTGTAAATTTAAACTATGAAAGACAGACCATTAAAGATGATCTCATTGTGCTGCATTAGTGATGCGCCCATTGATAAATTAACAAAATATAGGCCCATGACGTCGTCTATTCGTGATCATCATCCATTTTACGGGTGTTCCCAATTACGCGCAGTGCGTGGGCCCCTAATAATGCATGAACCCATAACAGTCCCAGCAGGAACAATTGTTTCAAAATACCCCGCCCCCCCAAAAAAAAAAGTGGGGGTCAACATAGAACTTTAAAGGGAACGTCAACCCAAAAATTTCTCTTACAATAATATGTTCTATGCAGCCTCACTTGTCAAAACATGGTGTTCTGATGAATTATTGCTTTTTGTGGCATATAATTTAGCGGTAAAATCCACCCGCTTTTGTCCATCTCAGTGGGCGGCCATTTTGCCAGTTGCTGTTGACTGAAAATGACATGAGAGTTGCTCAGGGAACGACCAATCGTGGCTCAGCTTGAGAAAACAGGTGAGCCGTGATCGGTCGTTACCTGGGTTGACTTCTCCTTGACGATGTTCCGGTGAATGGGCATTCTTGTCACTTCTAATGACACCAAAAAAAAAAACCTTTCAGACTACCTGCTGTCAATACAAACTCAAATGTATTCATCCGAGCTGTAACCTGATGTGGCGAGAAGCAGTATTTATTCACCCTATTTAAAAGGAGGACAGACACACAACATTGGGCAAGACAAAAACTGCATATTGATTCCTTATAACACTTCCGTGTGCACACAGTGACAATAAGTACACGTCTGCACATCCATGGTCTAAGAGCAACTGTGCTTCCTCCGCATTAAATAGTCCTTTACTAGACGTTGATTGCAGTTAACACCGACGCCAGACTATATTAATTGCTCCATTCTTCCGTTCTAGTGCCTCGGTGCCGATGTGAAGCTGAAAACTTAACAAGGTAAAAGACTGTGTCAGCTTGTCACACATGGGTACTCATGCAAAGGGTTTAGGCGGTTTAAATGAGAAAGAGTGTGTGGAATTAAGTGACACTTAAGAAACTCAAGCACCCCAAAAATAAATACATACATATAAATTAAAAAAAAAAAAATCCAGGAAGTAAAGGAAGATGGGATCATGTAGTATTGTTTTCTTTTTTTTTCACATTATACTTACTGCAGTGCCCTGGCATATGGGAAAGGAGAGCCACAATGACTGATGCACGTTAAAGAATGGTCATGAGAAGTGTAAAACACTTATGCGGCAACTGCTGTAAGCCCCAGCTCTCTCACACACACACACACACACACACACACACACACACACACACACACACACACACACACACACACACACATACTGGCGCACAGAAAAGATAAACTGGCGCACCCCTGCGGTGCTACCACCGGATTAAAAAAGGGTTAACGTTTAACTGAATGGATGTCTTGAAAAGAATGTGTGGCCAGATGAGATTAAAAGCAGTGCGAAATCCAGCCAGGTTTTCGAGGTGCTTTGAGGTGAGGTGCATTACCGTTGCTATGGTTTCACTTTGTGCTGTGAGTTTTGGGATAGGCAAAATAGTCTTCAAGCACTGGTTGCACACTGATATGAAGCTTCCCTATCATGAGCTTTTCTAGTGATTTAAAAACTTTTCAAGTTATGATCACTGCCCGGTAATTGTTGTCCTCTTGGCTTTAACCTTTTTTGAGTATGGGTGGGACAATTATTAATTTTTTTTCCACCCCCTCCCTGAGTCTTGGTGCTGTAGAAGTGTTTATCCAGAGCTGGAACAATTTCTTTGACGTAGACAGCGTTCCTCTAAAAAGATTTTAAAAAATAACAGCAGGCAGTCAGTTGCTTTTTTTTTTAGTATGAATTGAGTTTTTAAATCTTGCCTGTCTCTTGATCACTTTTGATTCTATCCATATTCCAATCTGGGAAGCGTTTATTTAAAGTGAATGATGTAAATGTGAAACGTTCTTGGCTTTCAAGGAGGAAATGAGATTCCTAACAGAAGATGGAAAAAAGGTTGCATTCTCCATTTTATTTTTTACATTATTGTCATTTCTAGATGCCATGTTTCATGTACTAGGTTGAGACAAGAAACCTCATTTTGAAAATTTGGGGTTCAGTTGCTATGATTATGACCATTCATGTCATCAAAGAAAAGAATCGGCATGACGTCTGATTGCCTCATTCAAAATCGTTGCTACGAAACGGGAAGGGCGCCGGGGGGCCTACTTGTTGATTGCAGAAATGAGCTCCTCAAGGCGTCGTGTATCGGCAGCGGTGGCGTTGTCCAGCTTGGTGAGACCATCCATTCGCTTCAGAATCACCTCCAGCATGTCACTGATCTTCCGCAGCACACCGCGTGACTCCACACCTCCCAGCACTGAGCAGACACAGAACCGTGAAGATGCAAAAGTGGGTTAAAAAGGAAAGAAGACAACACCGGAGCCCCCTGCTTATTTGAGGTGTAAACCTTGCCGATCTAACAGCCACAATTGTCATTTCCTGTGCCCGCAGCAAAAACTGAATCCTGCCCCGCAGCTGTATTGTCATAACATGTCATCAAATGGCCATTGTCCATACCACACACACACACACTCAAGTGTGATATCTGAATATGAGCTTCCAGTTCTCCTTTGATACAAAGATGAGGCTTGTGTGAGTTATGAAGCGCCAGGAATTAATGATGTGGAGGCTCTGTGTGCAAAAGCCAATTATATCCATCACCTCACATTGCACAGCGGGGGCACTCTATTGAGTCTGCGGAGGGGCCTTCTATGTAGTTATGGGGGCATACTGGGATAAATGCTCTGGTTCCTGGGATTGAAGAGTGGAGTCTTGGCACAAGTAGTGTTTGGAAGACAGCATGGGATGAAAAAAAAAAAATGGTGTTGAAAATCCGCTTTAGTACAGTTGCATTGTGGCAATGGTTCAAGGTCAGTGGGGCTATCATCTAAGCCATAATTGGTGAGAACGGAAAAGCTGCCGACACCAACTGAGCACCTTTTGTAATGGAACCTTAAAAAAAAAAAAAAAAAAAACTCTCTTTGTAGATTTTCTTGTTGATCATTTAAAAAACAGTTTGGCGTTGTGACATTAGTCCTCAAACCTTTTAGACACGTCTCGTACGACTAGGCAGCAATTGTGCTTAAAATCTGATTCCCGAGTCACTCTCAACAGGTTGCAGGACCCCAACATAAAATTTTGATTTATGCTAATAAATCATGTCAAATCAAGGCCTGCATATTCTTTACGGAGACGCTGACAGGAAACTTAAGTGGCACAGATTCACAAAACGCGGAACCAATTAAAAGTGAGCTCTTGTAACAAATATTTAGGGTGAGGCATTTTGAGTGGGCGTGATCATCCAGAGCTTGAGAGATTTATTGGTCGTACTTTTTTTTTTTGCCTTCAGTTGCAATAATAATAATAATAATCACATACCGTATGTGGCGGTTCATCATGAACATTTCCGTGTTAAAATTGCTTTTCTTAATGGATGCACGCATCAATAAAAGATTTTCCCCCTGCAGTTCTAATTTTGCTAGAATGTCACCTTTAACCAGCAGAAAATGATTGGGGAAAAAAAATGAAATTAGATGGAAGGTTTTGATGTCCCACTTCACACCAATTAATCAAATATTTAATTAAAGCAGCACTGTGAGGTGTTTGCATTTCAATCGGGGACCAATCTGCTAGTTTGTAGAAAATGTAGAATATTTAGGGGTTGCGAGCTGCTGGCATTCTATCGTATGTCCTTGTTTGCCTGGATTCAAATAAGTCTGCCTGCATGCACACACAAAGATGCAGCTATGCAGTGGCCTGTTTTCTCCACCATGTTGGATTGATTATTGAGAGCCTCTGCACATTGCATCGCTCTGGAGGCCTGTAATGCGTGAACGGGACACTTTTAGTGTGTCGGAATGGGCGATTCAAGTGAGAAGGGCTGTTGATATACGCGCATGTTACCGTCTGCATCATTCTTAGTTCGCAAAGTCAACAGAATGGGAGTATCAACATTATCCTTGGGTCCTCTGAAAGACACTCTGGAAATGGAAGATGTTATTTTTATTATTAATAATATTATTGGCTGCAAGGCAAACCATTATCAAGTCCATTTGCTTTTCTGCATTTATGTCTGCTTGACCTTGTGGAAATAACAGAGCAGGACTAAACAACCACCCCCCCCCAAAAAAAAAATAAAAATTACGATCCAACCCTGAAGCAAATATGTTTGTCGCAAACTTGAAAACACCCTTTGTCGGAGCCGATCAAAAATAGACAACGGAGCAACAAAAGGAAAAGACTTGGATTTGATGCAAGTACTGAGTGCGCGTGTGAAAGTTGGGATGGGCAAAAGAGATGAATTGATAATTGAATTGATTGTGTTGATTGAAATGTTGACCACATTGTCCCAAAGCAACTGAGCCAAAATGGAGCGCATAACTTTGCCGCTACCGACGTTATTCCACTGGCATGGGCTTTTCTCAGATCCCAGGATTGAGTTCATCCTTATTCATCATTGTTTCTAAATTTGAGAAGGTTAATTCGGTGACTAATTATCGTTTGTGTAAAGGGTTGGTGTGCATATTTATTTGCCCGTGTGTGATGTCACATCATGCGTCACTTAGGTTAGTGTGGTAGCTAAGAAGATTGATGATTCTAGAGCGAAGGTGGTTTTTGCGTTAAATGATCTAACCACAGAATACCGTCTTTTATAAAACATGGTTTTCTCATTGTGTACATGAAGACATGTGATTAATGGCATATACTGTGTTATGGGGGGATTAAATATTTGAAGATAAGATGCTATTGGTGTCAGGGCTTTGTCCTTCTTCCTGGGAAGAGGCAGCGTTGACTGTGCAGGTACGACACATGATCTTAACTGATGGGGGGGGGGGCGATGGGCATCCGTTTTAAGGAGCTCTTAATTTTTCTTAAAAGGATGATTCACGAGGTGACTAATTGGGGCATGAAGTCTATCCAAAGGAAGGCCACGATGCAAAGAAATATGCATTTAGGATTGTCTGCTGTGCAAAATTAACACAGAAATCAGGCAGAGAGGCGCTGATGGTGTTGTGGTTCAAGCACCGAATTTAGTGGATTGTTAATTTTCCTATACAGTCAATTAAGATCATGTAGTGAAATGCCCATTGCTAGTTTCGAGTACAGTGTGTGTCCTTCCTCACAAATTCAAGGCTGTGTATGCTCCATAATGTGCGTTCATAAAAAAAAAAAAATATATATATATATATATAGTGCACGTCCATTGGGAGCAGCAGGAGGATTTCAATTTAACCAATGCCACTCACCTTATAAATCATAAATCGCATCTCATTTTTTATATATATATTACACACACACACACCCCGGTATATGATAGCAAAGCAGTAAAAAGGGGCAGAGGTGACAGAAAGTGCAAAGTAAAACAAATACTGTTGAAACACTAAATCCTTTTCAGAGGTGTTTATTTTTAGATTCGCCAAGGGTACTGAATTGCCTTTACAGTTTAAAAATAGTCATCAAATGCTACGCAGTGCCCTAAAATATTTTGAAACATGAAATTTAAGGAGGAGGAAAAAAAATAATAAATCTAAGTGACAGATGAGTGATGCGGGACTTTGAAAAAAAGCTTCCACTGTCGCAGCACATTGCACAATCTTTGAAAAAAAAAAAAAAAAGAGATGAATCTTCTTGAAGCAAACATCCAAACATTTGGAAGCTCGGAGCGTCAACCTGTGGGTGACTGACTCTTACCTGGTGCGCATGCATACACACCCACACACATACCCCAACAGCATGGTGTTTTGATCGGCCGCGGGCGTTTTTGCATATTCATGCGACATGAAAGCCGTTTGAGAGGTGATGAATACTGACAGGACCGCCTGCTCGACAGGAGTCGACGCCTCCAAATTAACCGCCGAGCGACGTCATTTTGTCTTTGCAACTTCCAGCTGTGAAACAGAGGAGGCGGCTGTACATCAGCTAAAGACCTTTCTCGATTCCCATTATTCATTGACAGCTCTGAGAATAGTCATTGCAGCCCCGTGCATCATGCGGGAAACATTCTAGAACAGACTGTAAATGTATTTGAACGACAAAAATTGCAGTCAGAGAAAATACTGCACATTTTTGTGTTATGTGCCTTTAAGAGGCTAGTCTTGGCGTCAGCGCGTCTGCCTACAAGTATCTGGATGTGAGCTGTGGCCAAGAGCAGCGCCTGTACAAGTCTTTTACTGGTCTCCTGGCATTCAATAAGCGGCTGAAAAGTTCACCGGCAACTATGGCTCTACTTTTCAGAAATCGAGTTTGTATGTTCGTAAAATAGTGACACAGACAAGATTGAAAGACTGGCACTTCTAAAGGGACAGACTCGGAACCAAATCTCAATCACGAGGTTTGTGGCACACATTTTCATAGCTGGGTGATGTTTGGTTGGCTCGTCATTAATTCAATCTAGCAAAACATAAGCCCGAGCCTGCTAGCTAACGTCAGCTCCACATCAAGCTATAAAGTTCAACGTCAGAGGAGCACCACGGTGCTATTAGCCCGATGAAAGAAGTCAATTCATTATCGAAGAATCAAGTCATCATCTGATCTTTCACAAGTTTGATTTCTGAAACAACATCATCGCATCACGCAACATCTTTTCAACAGACACTTCACATATTCAACTGTTATGCAAGAAGAAGGCACGAGCCATCAAGCCATTCAGCCAATTTTCTTGATCATTCTGCTTTGGTCAAATAACATTGAAGGGTGTGTTTTACCCGTGTTAAAATCCCATAAGCTTTTGACACCTTCACGTTTGTGTTATGTCAAGGTGGAAAGGTGTATATCGTCAACTCATAAAAATGACAGTTTACACAATTACAGCAGGAATTTCCGCAGCACACAGACAACATTCCACAAACAAATCCGAAACATCGCGACGGTGCCAACGATGAACCGAGATATAGTGAGGGAACCCTGTCAAGGGCACACACCTCTCATGTGTCTTCTTTACATGGATTGAACCAAGACAATCCTAAGAACAACTCTTCTCGCGGCACGCAGAGACTTAATGGCCCGACCGCCACTGCAATCTCCACAGCAACGCATCTCATCTGCACACCAACACAATTACCACAAATTGCATTCGCTTTAATTATGATGGCGCAGGAGCTCCACTGTTCATTAGCTAAAGAACAGCAGGAGTGGGCGACTATGTTCCTCTTTTTTTTAATTTTTTTTTTTTTTACTTTATTTGCTGCACAAATGGTTTCAGGCAAATGAAAATGTCACCATTAACGCCTGCACTCGGTGAAAGACACACGCGGGGCTCTAATAGACGATATCAAAGACCAATCACAAGGGAAGGATCAGTGATAAAATGGTGACCGG